CATAAACAATATGATAATAATACCAAAATTAAGCTACATGTTGCAACTAACAAAGATATTAGAGAAAGAGATAAATAAAATACACCAATCAATAATATGCTTGGCAAAACAAAAAAGTGGCTTACCAAGAACATTAAAAAACTGTATAATAGAACATAAAGATCTTGATAGTTGCAGAACCTTGCGACAAGAACTAATAATAAAACAAATAAAAGGCCTAATAGCAAGACTAAACAGAAAGGATGAACTAGGCCAGCTAACAAAACAAAGAATAACACAGGGTTGTCAAAGAGCAAGTTTGATAAAAGACATATAGAAAGTAGAAGAACTGTTAGAAGATAAGTTATGTTAGAAAAACAATCTAGCCTGCTTGATGATAGTCAAAGCAAGAAAGTTAGACATAAATATAAACACAGAAAATGAACTATAAACAACAAATAGTTATAGTTTTAGAGTAATTGAACTAGTAAAACCATGACTATAAAAAAAAAGCAGATTCAAAATAAGTGAAGCAGGACTCATATATTTAAACCAACTACTCAATACAAAAGAAGAAAAACTAATAATATAGCAGCAATTCAAGATCTATCAAAATTAGTTAAGCAAAGACAAAAAGGCAGAGTAGTTCAAAATGATAAAGACAAAAATGCTTAACAGAATCGAAAGCAGAGAAGTTAAGAAACAATTTAAAACAGGCAAATGTAACATGCAGGCAATAAAGATCATGTAAAGAACCCTGTCAAAGGATAGAAGAAAAAAAAATAAATAATATATAATACAACAAAGAATAGACAAATAGGAAAAATAGTTAAAAAGAAGAAGAAAAAGTTACTAATAGAACATTGGCAAATGCATAATATAAAAAGTGACTTAATAACAAAAATTAATAAATGCAAAGAGAGTTCAAGAGACAAAGAAACAAAAGGAAATAGCTGCCAATATTGGATAAGAATCAACAATAATATAAACACAGTCTCAGATATGCTAATAGAAAAAAACAATAATATAATTAAGACAGCTACCAACTAATTAATAGGATATATAAGAACAGAGAAACTGAGAAAAAATGAACAGAAAGTAATAGGACTTAAAGTATTAGAAGGCCTAGAAATAGAACTAATTAGGAAGCAAAAAATAAGAGAGAATGTTAGCCAAGAGCTAGTAGAGATCTTAAAAAAAAATATATTAAGAGACAAAAACAAATATACAATATATAGACAGTGCAACAAATAAAAGAAATGAAGAAGAAGCAACAGACAAAAACATAGGTATAGGTTAAATACAAATAGCTGAAATACAAAATTGGTCAGAAGAAAAAGTAATATTAGGAGTAAAAGGATGGCTTACATTTACTACAACTGAGGTGCTAGCAATATAGACAGCAATTTTAAAAATGCCAAAAGGAAAAAAATTAGTAATATTTATAGATAGCAATGTGGCAATTAAAAACATTAGTAAAGGATTAGTGTGTATAGATAGAAACAAAGTTCTTAAAAAGAAAAATGCACTATGGGTATTGAAGATAATAGATATAGTGAATACAAAGAATATACAGATAGAGTGGATTAAAGTTAAAAGTTATAGCAAAAATAAATGGAATGATAAAGCTGATAGCTTTGTGAAGAAGAAAATGTTAAGCAGAAAAATAATTTTTCTAGAAGAAGGCAATCATGAAAAGATAGAGTACTGCCTAGAGTGGAAAAACAAGTAAATAGACATACTGACAAGACTTTTATATAAAATAGTAACAAATGCCAGACTGGAAGTAGAGTGAAAAAAAATAATAGTGATCAAGAATATTGAACCAGAAGCAGAAATAATAATATATGATTGGATATACTTTTGGAGAAGACTAGATTCATCTAAAGGAGTACACTGCCTAACAAGAAGAAGCAGTACAAGAAGAAGTACTTTCATGAAATATATATTGGACAAACTCTCAATATTGGAAGAACTTAATAGAAGAAGGCTAGATATATATACAATAGCAAAATGCTAAGTTTGTTAAAACAAAGTTAAAAAAATACAAGAACATATGGCATTATGTAAGAGACAAGCAAATTTATGAAAAAAGATACAGAAAGTATCTATCATAATAGCATAAAAGAGTTTAAAAGAAGAAGAAAAGATAAGAGTTCTACTTCAAGTATTATATATGGCACTTTTTGAACAAACAGAGTAAAAAGAAATAGAAATAAAAAAAGCACTAATCAAAGGCCTAATTTCAAGAACAATGCAAGACAGGTTATCTTAAATCTTAAGTATGAAAACAAGACAACATTTTGCAAACATATTAACAAAAACAATATGGAATACATTCTATGAACAAGTCTAAAGAATCTATTGTGAAAAGGTTAACACATGGGAAAAAAAAAAAAAATAATGAGTAAAAAGAAAAAAAGAAGACTAAAGGAAAATGAAAAGTCAAATATAAAGAAAAAAAGAAAAGCTAATCAGCAAGCAATAGAAGAAAGAAAAAAGAAAACAAAAAAAAAAAAGTGAATAAAAGAAGAAGTTAGAAAGACAATTAATAAGCTTGTCATAAAAGGGTGAAGACCCTTTCATTACAGACTTTAAGTACTGTAGTTAGACAAGCAGCTTACTTCTGCTAGAAGTAATGTAACAAGTTGCACTTAGGCACTATTAGAATAGCTGGATGATGCTAGGCTTAGTTGTTAGATAAATTTATGTAATTACAGTAGTAGTTTTAAAAATCTTAATAAAGCACTAGTATGACTGCTTAAAAAAATATTATAATAAATAGTTTATTAATATTAGAAAAACTAAACAAAAAAAGACTAAATAGGGTGTAGGTTCCATAACTTAGCAGTTAAGCTCCCATATCCTCCATAGTCAAGGTTAACAGTTCAAGTCTGGTTAGAGGCAAAATTAAAAGATTTTAGCTTCTGTAATCTAATAAAGAGCCTGTAATTGAACACGAAGCCCTGTGGTTAAAAGTTCAAGTACAGTACAATAATGAAAATAGAAATTTCTGAAAGAAGACTCAATCATGGAGTGGAGGCACTATGCATAACAAGCAGTTGTTACAGAAGATTACAGTTATAGAAGGATTGTGCATGTAAGTTCTTTAGGCTAGAACAACACCAATATCCTTATACCTCTCAATATAGGCAGTACTAATATTCCTGTACCCAACTTGTAAAGTACTTGCTTGGAATGATAATTAACAGATTGTACAAATAAGTCTTAATTGGGATCCAAGAAGAGGATTTAATTGGGAGAGTAGTCTGACAAGTAACTAAGACTGGAATGATAAGAGAAGCAGTAAACACAAGAACAGACTGTGATAAAGGATTGGTCTAACCAAAATTGAAAGCACCTCTGGTATAGCTGAATAATCTAATTATAGAAGAAAAGATTTTGGAGGTAGGCATATAACTTCTTTGTGCAATGTAAAAGTACCAAATTAGGTTCTGGTCGTACCTATATGAAAGTCTATAACAAACAAGACTAGAAATCAATCAACCAATGTAAGATAAGATTTGCAAAGTAGTATGACATCACTGGGGTCAATGTAACTCCCTGAGTATAACTAGAATTGTCTTGCAGGTATTGTTGAATAAGCTGAGAGCTTGCAATACATGGTAGTATTGTATCATTAGGGTTGAAGAAACTCTCTAGGTATAACCAGAATTGTCCTATTTGTAAGTGCAACAAGTCTTAGTCTCTATCATAAAAGAAAGCACTATGTTGAAGGTTAAATGCAGCATTGAGTTACTGTATGACATTAAGACCTGGGGCATCTGCAGGAACAGTGGCAGCAGATTTGGCTTAAGATATAGATTGGTTAAAAAGACCAATGGCAGCAGCAAATCTGGCTTGAGATACAGGTTCATTGCAAATAGGGATGTTAAGTGGTCTGTGGGAAACCGGTTCATACCTGGTCCAGACCAGATTTTTTAGAAACTAGTTCAGGACTGGTCCAAAAACCAGTCCAGGTCTCACATGACATATATTAAGTGTTATTTTTGATACATCAAATAGATTTAATTTGATATGAATCAATAACAATACTTTTTTAATACTTTTTAAATGGTAGTACTTTCACAAATTGGGCGATTAATAGATAAAATTAATAAGTACTCAATTGAATTTTGCTGATCAAAATTAATAAGTGCCAATGGGCTTTCATTAGTTTTCTTTACGATAATTGTATGGTAAAATTATAGCATAATATTATTATTAAGTACCGATGGCTATTATAATGATTTTTCTTTCGTTTTTTGATCAATAATTGCTTGGGTTTAACATTATCAATAAGTACTGATGGCTTTAATAAAAATTTTTATTTTTTTGATCAATTGTTTTGATCAATAATTGCCTTATGAATTAATATTATTAGTAAGTGCCGATGGCTTTGATTACAGTTTTCTTTCATTTTTTGATCAACAATTTTTGATGAAATCATAACGTAACTATAAAAAGCTTTTAGTGTGGGTGTCTGTATCTTATTTAATGACAATTGTTCATCTTTATATTACAACTGTGATGGAAGCTGGAATGTAAAAGGACAAAAATAAAAGCATTCGTTTATTACCAAAAACATGCAGATAAAGTGATACTGGTAAAAAAATACTGTTGGTTGTCACTATAATCATGGAATTGGATGAACATAAAATATTCATTTAATCATTTGAATGGTCACGATATAATTACATCACGCTAGAATGTTACTAGCTTGAATTCCTTTCTTTAATTAATGACAATTGTTCTTTACTATATGTTCTTTAATTTATGGTTTAATTTGAGATTCAATTCGTGTTTTCTAAATTACAACAATTATATAACACAAATACCCCACCTAAACTTTTTTTTTGTGTTGAATTTTCTTTTATTAAATTTTTTTTTTTTTGTTAAAAATTTTTTTTTGTTTGTTAAGTGTTTGTTTAGCCACGATACAATTTTTTTTTATTCTTTGTAAGTATAAAAGATGTTTCTTTTTCAAAAATTTAGATTCTCATGAAATTCTGTTAGTCATTATGTCTCTTAATAACTATCTTGAACATTCACAAAATTCTACACCTACCTTAATTAAATTGAGTAGTGATTCTAATAATGATGAACAAACTTTTAAACGTGGTAAAAATGCATACCCTTTTTGAAGTTATTTTGAACTAACTTCAGACAAGAAACAAATCTATTGCAAACTATGCAAAACAAATTATGGACTCAAAACTGAAATTAGTACAATAAAATGTCATTTTGAAGCCAACTATAAAGCTGAATATGCCCATACTCTTCTTCAATTATCACAGACTATAGATTATTATGGTGTTCATGATGAAAGTAAAGTAAAAAAATTGAATGGTCTTTTGTTCACTGGATCGTATGCAACCAACAGCCTTTTTGTATGGTTGAAGACGAGGACTTTAAAACGTTTGTTTTTGAACTCGACCCCCATTACAGAATTCCCACCAGGCAAACAATCTCGACCCATGTCTGGCGGTTATTTGAAAGAGAACATGTGCAACTGCATAGATTTTTCAGAAGTTTCAGGCATAAGGTGTCAATCACAACTGATGCATGGTCCGCATGTACAAACTAGGCTTTTCTTGCAATCACCTTACATTGGATCGATGATGATTGAAAGTTGCATTGTATAATATTGAACTTTATCCCTTTGCATGAATGCCATACCAATGTTTTTTTAGCCAAAACAATCTTCAACCTGAATGAGTAGTTTTGGCTTGGAAAAAAAATTTTGTCGATGACTGCCAACAATGCTAGCAACATGAATGTTTGTGGCAAAAATCTTGCTAGTATGTTGAAATACCATTACGATAATACTGCTTTTTGCCAGTTGCGATGCGCTGTTCACATACTTAACCTTGCTGTTGTCAATGGTCTTTCTGTAGTTGACGAATCAACTAAAAAAGCACAAGAATTTGCAAGTTGTATCCATCACTCTCAGCCCTGCCTTGAAGAATTAAAAAAAATTTTTGAAATGAAGAGTCAACCATTTTTAATGCCCAAGCTTGACTGCGAAACTAGGTGGAACTCCTTGTATTTAATGTTAAAAAAATTAAATAAAATAAAGGACATGACAGATATATTAGTGGTTTCAAAGCCATATCTTAAACAACAATATCTGACTGACCAAGATTGGAATAATATTAAAGTTGTAATGCTACTATTAGAACCCATTTATAAAGCCACCAACCTACTTTTTTCCTCGACCTACCCAACTATTGGGGACGTGCGCACAGTTTTTTTTGTAATTGTTTCACATCTTACAAAAGCTAAAAATGAAATAAATTCAATAAAATCGTATATGTCAGTAAAAATTCTTGAAAAGCTTAACAATTATTGGAACGAATTACAATCTTCTCTCCTAGAAGTGGTATTACTCGATCCATCATCCAAATTTTCTACCTTCTGTTCTGATTCTGAAAGAGATGGTGTCTGTCAAATAATTAATAAAACTTATGAAAGCTACGCCCCTCCTAATAAAAAAATAAATGTGCAGGTTCTTGAAACTAGTCACTTAACTTCAGCTTGCGATTATTTTCGAAATCATCTAAAACGGTCTTATAATGATATGTCAATTAGTTGTAATATATTAGATGAATATTTAAATATGCCTGATGAAAATGTGGATGTCCTTGCATTTTGGAAATCAAAATCTCTAAATTCAAAGTAGATACCTCTTGTTAAAATGGCTCAGGATTACCTAGTTGCTCAGGCAACTAGTGTCCCAAGTGAGCAGGCATTTTTGCTTGCGAAATATACAATAAATGCAGTACGAAATCATTTGGAGGATGAAAAGGTTTGTGCTAGTCTCTGCCTAAAAACATGGTTTGATGCTAGGATATTAAAAAACAGAAAAAATAGTTTTGAGCTTTCAGATTAGTATATATTTTATATACGTGTTCTTTTTTTTATAGGTTATGTAATATCGATATCATTATGTATAATTTGTAAAATAAAGGTATTACAAAATTTATAATAAACCATCTAGGGTAGAACTGGTTTTTGACTATTTTTTGACAGGGGTGAACTAGTCCATTAACTAGTCTGGACCCAGACTTTTTAGAGACCGGAACTGGACTACACCAGATGCACTACTTAACATTCCTAATTGCAGATCCTGGACCATTGTCAGAACATCTTAGGGGAATCAATAACAGGCAAACCAAAGATGAGAAAATCATAAGGATCAGACATACCTGAGTAGGACCAATTTGGGAGTAATACAGTGACAAAAAGGTGAGAAATGTGGAGAACAAGGTAACACTAGATATAGTTAGATTAGGAAACAAAAAAAACAAGATCAGATAAAACATATAAGTAAGACATATAGGTATAATTTACAGAAGACAGTACCTTTGGTATTTGGAATGCTATATTAAGTTCAGTAGGTATTCTTGTCTGTGTAGCAGTTTAATATATGCCATGACTGCAAGTGGTTGCCAAGAAAACTGCATGCAGGCATGCAGCAGACATGCACTTAGGTGCTATAAGGGTAACCAGATAAAGTCAGTGGTATTAAATTAGATAGTATATAGTACTAGTAATAATTGATCCTAAAAATGTAACTATAAATTTGTACTATATCAAATTAAGGCTAATAAAAACCAACTGGCATTGTCACCAAAGTTCAAAAAAAGAAAAAAAAAAAAGACTAAATTATATATAATGATAAAATAACAGATCTGTTAAAGCAATAAAAAAAAATTTAACTACTCTTTTTAATAATCTTTTGTATTAATTTTTTTTACATATATTGATCTATAAATATTATATATATTGTTAATATGTTTATATTTAACAAAGATTTGCAATATAATATCTAGGTTTAAGAGTTTTAGATTATATATAAGCAATATAAAAAAGAGTTAAAAAAGACAGCTTTTTGTAAGTTTAGTTTTCTGATAAAAGTTTATAAAGTTATCAAAAAAGTAATTTTAATAACAATTAAGAAAATATTTATCAAACTATATTTAAGCAATAGTGAAGATAAGAGCTTAGTGAATATGTTATTCTATATATATAATATATATTTTAAATTTCTGTAAAAAATAATAATTCTAGTTTACTTTTACTAAAGAATTAGTAATATTTACTTAATTTAAAATAGGAATATACTTACCAAATTAGAAGTAATATTACAAGATTACAGTTTATATAAAAATAATAGAAGAATGATGATCCTAGTACAATGATTGGGTTGTTATCTTCTAAATGTTAGGTCTAAAGTTCAAATCCTACCTATAATGAAATTTGAAAATTATATCTGCATTACATAACTGTCTTCAACAATCAGTTAATCTTATGTGGTTGTAATCCAAGTACACCAAGTTAGGTTCTATTAATATTGGAAACTTAGAGCATTTATACAAAGTGTAACATTACATATACATGAGTGCTGTTTAATAGAAAAGAAAGAGATCTTCTTTTTAAATCTAATCAATTTGATTAGAATTAAAAAAGAAATCTCTTATTTTTCTATTTAACAACCCTTATATAAAGAAATATATAACTAATGTTGTATAAAACTTTGATGCAAACCTATAATAAAACTATCAGATATAGAAAACTAAGGAATCAAAGTAACAGAAACCCATTTGAAAATTTTTAAATAAAAAGATAGTATGAATTTTCAATAGTATTATTAAACTAGTTGAAATTTATAAAACATCTTCATAAAAATTAATGATTAAAACTGAACAACAAATATATATAAAAAAGCATATAATCAATTAGAATACTGAACTTATCAGAGAAAAAGGATACAAAAGTATATCATATCAGGCTATCTGAATTGGTAATCTGAAATGAGACTGATGGTTTTGAGTTGCAGCTAATAGGAAATGATAAAGAAGATGCCAGAAAAATAGGTGTTGTGATTCTAATAAACTTTACAAAAATAAAAATAATATAACATAGCAGTTAAACAAGTAACTCCTATGATTGCAAGTGTTAGATAACTATAACATATTATATAAAACTAGTTAGTATGTGTAGAATATAAAGACTAGTAAGTTTTTTGTTAAGAATAAAGTAGTTTTAAGAGTACTAACTAGCATCAAGAATTTGAATAGGTGTAGCCTTGAAGATGTTCTTATAATACAAGAAGGATTGCATATGCAGAAGGTTTAAATAGACAAAACTTCTAGTTGGTTTGCAGGTATAGCATCTAGTATAGAACTTATATAGTAATGTATAAGTGAACTACTTAAATTAAGTATTAAAAGTATACATGTAGCTAGTTGTAACTTCCAATGTAAGGTAGCTTCTAGTGGCATATTGAGTTCTATATACTTGAATAAAAATGTCTTATTCTGAAGATAGAGACTTTAATATTAAAAAAATAAAATAAAAATGATAAATAACTAATAATATAATAAAAGTAAATATATATATAGACAGAGATAGTATTTATATTAAATGTAGATATTTTTACAAACTTAGTAAAATTTTTATATTTTTTTTTTATATATAATATACAATAAATTTAAAATAAAGACTTTATCTGTTTAGAAATATTATATAATTTTATAATTTTACATAGATAATAATAATAACCAAAACAGTTTAAAAAGTTATATTATTAAGTAGATGATATCTTTAATTTTGTTTTAATATATAAAGCAGATTGTTGCTAATGAACTAAAAGTATATGAAAAAATCAAGGTGCAGGTAACTCTTTTGAGGTTTGTGTTAAGGTTAAACCTTTCTGAAGACAAACTTCTTAATATGTTTAGTATTTAAATAAGAAAGACATTCTGGAAACAATAGAAAAAAACCCTGGTAAAAAATTATTAGAAGCTTGAAAACAGAACAAATAGCTAAAAATACTTTTTTTAGTTTGACTCTTTGCATATTATATTTGTCAATCTTTTTTATTTATTTTATTTTTTTATCTAAAAGTAGAAAATTTGGCTTCACTTTTACAAAAGATTGGCATTGTTTATCACTTCTTTTTCAAACAGTTACATGTTATAACATAATGTAATAGAAACACAACAATCATATATATAACTTAATATATAGTGTAATAAAGAAACAAAGAAGAATTTAAGTTAAAAGATTATAGCAAACTAGAGATATATAGTAATTTCTAAAATCATATATATAGAATTTTTACCCTTTAGTACAAGTTAAAGTGTAGTTAGATTTTTAGTACAGATTTAAAGTATTAGTAACCTTATTGAAATGGTTATAAATAAGGTATGTCTTTTGATACTTTTATGTTTTATTTTTTCTTTTTATAACCTTTTTCATTTAGTTTGGTATTTTTATTTATTTATTTCATTTCTCTATAAGAAAGTATCATTAGATTGGTAATACTTTATTGTAAGGTGGTAGTTAGGAATAACTTTTCAGATGGTAATTTGTTATTGTCTAGTATGATAGATTACTTCTGAGCACTCTTAAAAGTAGTCAGAAGAGTTAGAACTCAGAAATTAAATATATAGTATTAGCAATAATGTTAATATTTTTTAATAAAAATACATTAATGCAACTACTTAAAGAAAAAAAATAAAAAAATAATAATATATATAAAGAATGATAATTCTAGTATAGTGGTTATATTGTTATCCTCTAAGTGGCAGGTCTATGTTTTTTTTTATTTTTTTATTTTAAAGACTATATTTGTAGTAATACTTTATTAACTTTTATTAAGTTAGCTATTACAACTATTTTTATATAAATAAGAATACAACTAGTCATATGTACAACTTTTAGTTGCCTATTTAAGTAGTTCATCCTAAGGTTCTATACTAGATAGCATATCTATAACCTATTAGGAGATTATTTATTTAAACTTTCTAATTATCTGCCTTGTTATAATGTAATCCCAACTTACCCTTTATATATACCTAACCAATATACTGTCTGAACAGTATGGTACCTACCCTTTTTATACTAGTTTCTAGATTGTTATACATTTTAGAGTACATTACCTGCTAGTAAAATGCAGAGAGCCTCTTATTGTTAACTATCTACTTACTTTTAGAACACTAACAAAAGGCTATCTTTACAGAGTTTATTCAGACTTTAGCACTAACTTTATAGCATATTTTTAGTACTTTTAGTATATTTCTGCTTTGATCTTAGACTCCTAATTTAGATAGTTTAGAAGAACTGTAATCTGTTCTTGATATATTGAGGCTGGCCCAATAGTCTTTTTTTTTAGTTTAAAATCTGACAGTCTGGTTGATGGTACCTCTCATCCAAGGTTCTTGTCTGTCTGATTTCTCTATATTGATATCTATTTTCTAGGTCTAGCCTTTATAGTAGTACTGTTAAAGATTTATGTTATCTCTTTGTTCAGAATTTCTAAGTAAGCTCTAGCTTTCCAGTTCTACAGATTTACACAGATCAAGAACTTATTTTAGGTTTGCATCACCTAATACTAGTTTGCATTTCTTTGTATAATCAAGACTATACAGATGCCCCAGACCTGCCAGTCATACTAATGCAATCATAGTTACAGATATCCTATCCTAACTGATCGACAAAATGCTCACTAGTCGAAAACTAGAAATTTGACTAGGTCGAATTACAATAACATTCAGCAAAAATTAGTCAATTTTTTAAAATTTGATCAATAAAAATTTGGCCACACTAAATTCTACATTAATTTGACCTAACTTAACCAAAAATTCAGTATCTAAATTTTAACAAAATTCGATC